CTGGATCAATGCAATGGAATATTATTAAAGGGTTATACTTTAACACTAATGAAAACCATCTTCCATGGGAAGGGACTGAACAGCAAGTAAGATAGAAGTAACTCAGAACTGTGCTTTCTGTGCCATTAATGAACCTAGTGGAAATCTTGATCCTCCTCTCCTAACACCTGTTCAGCATCAAGGAACTTAGAGGAGGATCACAGCTTGACCTCATGCAAATGATCAAATGCTCATATGTTCAAAGTAAAATATCTGTTGGTTCTCATTGAGAGCTTCAGTGTACGGGCAAAAGCTTTTCCAATCTGTACTGAGAAAGCCAGAGAATGGCTTGGTGTTTCAGTGTCCATTAGAAAAATCTGGACACAGGAAGTCATATTATCAACCAAATCTTATCAACCAAGTCATATTATCAACCAAGTGATAGGTAGAGTTATTCCTTTTTATTGTCTTAATGATAGATATGGGTATGGTATTGTGTTGCTTTTGTTTCTGTTGCTTTAACTCTTGTTTTTTTAGACAGAAAACAATTCTGTCCTTACTGGGTCAGAAAGAACCTTCTACTTCTCCAGGGTCTAAACATTTCAAAGTGATAGCCCTCAGTCTAATTGATCTGATCTTCTCTTTCAGATAATTTCAGGAACCCAACCAATTCATTGCCTGGGGCCCATTATTAACTAAGGTAGTCTGAGATTTCCCCCTTGCACAGGCAGGGTCTGTGCCCCTTATCAGCATGAAACAGCTTCAGAAGATGGACCACCAACCATTTTCCCCTTAAAGTTTTAAGGTGGTGAAATCTCTAGGGGGGGGGGAGAATATGATGTAGGCAGGTAGACAGGGAAAGCCCCCTCCCAAGGCAATGACAAAAGCAGCCCTGCATAAAATAGGAAAACAGGAACTAAGGCTTAATAAGACCCTCACCTGGCTACAGCAATAGACCCAAAGAAGCTCCTGCAGGAACAAAAGGTCAGGAAAGGAATTTCAAAGAAGACCATCACCACTCCAATCCTCCATGGTAACCTCCTTAGCAACGAACTTTTACCTGGGAAGAAGCCCACGAGGGGGCAGGCTGGAGAAACCCTATAAAGTACCAACTGCCTGAACTCATGTGCTGCTTGCAACCACGTGGCCGAGCACATGTGCGCTGAACACATGCGTTGCCGGCATCTCCCCTCTTGAGATGTATACTTTCATGCTTTTCTGTCTAATGCTAGGATGTGTGTAGGGGTTCTCTCTGCCTTTGGAGAAGCCTGTGTTCTCTCTTGAGTACATTACTCTCTCACTCTCTTCCTCTCCAAAACCTCCAAATAAAATCTGTTTATTTCACTGCTTGTCTACTTCTGAAATTCTTTTATGCGAGTGAGACAAGAACCCAGTAACTCTGGGTCCTGGGCGGCAGAGGAGGTTGGGGAGAAAGTGAACATCTTTCTCCTCCCCGTGTCACATAAGTCACTGGATGAAGTATTCTTAATGAAGCAATCATTTCAGTGAGCTTTTTCACTATATCCCGCCATTGCCTTCAGGTTTGGAGGTTTTCCTCTGATAGGTCTGCTGTGAATCTAAGGGTGCTCCTTTGTATGTGATTTCCTTCTTTGACCTTGCTGCTTGCAGTATTTTGTCTCTATTGGCAGCATCGATTATTCTAACTATAGTATGTCTTGGAGTGTTTTTGTTAGGGTCTCTTTTAGCTGGCACCCTTCAGGCTCCTTGAACCTGAATGGCTGCATTGTCAAGCTGTAGGGATTTTTCAGCAATGATTTTTTTAACCGTGTTTTTTCATTGGTATTATTTCCCTGATCTTCTGGTACCCCAATGATTCTAATGTTGTTCCTCTTGGAATCATCTCCTAGGACTCTGATTCTCTGTAGAGCTCTTTTGAGGTCCTTTGCCACTGTTTGTTGTTGCCTGTTGGCTTGGTGCAGCTGATCTTCCAGCTCACTGATTCTCTCTTCAGCTGTGGTAATTCTACTGTCGAGGCCACAGACTGAGTTTTTTATTTCATCTACGAAATCTTTTATTCGTGACATTTCTGCTCTCATTTCTTCCCGTAATTTGCCTATTTTTTCTGTCATGTTACTGGATATCTGTCTGACTGTTTCATTGAGTTGATTGAACATCTTCATGACTTCATATCTGAATTCTTTGTCAGAGAGGTCCCTTAGGTGAGCAGTATCTACAGAGGCTTCTGGATTCCTTTTGTTGTCCTCCCCATGTGGTGAGGATTTGCATTGTTTCTTCATGTTGGTGTGTAGTAATGGAGACTAGGTTTCTTGATATGGCTAAACTACCTGTGGCCACGAGAGCATCGGCCCACATAAAATCACATAAAATTAGGCCACTCCCACGTCTACAGAAGTCACACCCACTTCTGAAAAGGCCACGCCCCCACAGGAACCTGGTGTGTGTGGGGGGAGTAAAGACTGTGTAGGGGAGAAGATCAGCACGGCTTAGGGGGCGAAGAGGAAGAGGCAGAGGCCCATGGCTGCTTTTCCCCCAGCATCTAAGAGGATGCCTGGGGGGCTTGCAGGGAGAAATCCAAGTCCCGGGTTAGAGTACCAGCGGATGAACTGACCTGGGTTTGGGAGAAGATCAGTACAGCTTTGGGGGCGAAGAGGAAGACGCAGAGGCTCATGGCTGCTTTTCTCCCAGCACCCGAGAGGATGCCTTGTGGGCTTGCAGGGAGAAATCCAAATCCAAGTCCCGGGTTTAAGTACTGGCGGATGAACTGACCTGGGTTTAGGAGAAGATCAGTACAGCTTGCGGAGCGAAGATCACTATTTCTTTAAGTCAAAGATTATGATGCGTCCTCTTTATTCTTCTTCCTGTCAGAACTCTGTTGGTCACAAAGAAACTTTAGCTATTCATGTAAAAATGAAAAAACACCCACTATCTGCCTCTGGCACCATATATGCTCATTAATGCTCATAATCCAAAAACTCACAAATAACTCTCAGAAGAGAACAACAAGGCATATAGGTGCCTCAAGGACCCACGCCAGGCTGCGTTCATCCAGAGCAACTAAGAGGGTAGTGTTTGAGCCCACCATCTGCCCCAAGAGAACCCTGGCAGCCAAAAGTCTTCCAGAACCCAATTGACACAGTGTTCACAGGCTCAGGATTAGCCCCTCATGCTTGAGAGTGAATCTGTTGAAAACCCCAGGTATGAGGGTTTTGTCATTGAAATCATCAGGTTCTCATGGGTTAGGGAATAGATGACCTTCTCCCATCTCCCTATTCTTCTGGGAGCCTGGAAGTCATGCGAGGAACTCCCTCTGGTGCCATAGAAGGTAATTAATGGCATTAACTAAGAGACTCACAAATCAATATCAGAACAACAACCATAGAGTTGCTTCCAGACCGCAAAGTGGGGTCCAATTAAATATTTAATTCCAGCTATATCACCCATTTAAAATGTTCAAATTTCTGAAGCAAATCTTATTCTCTAAAGCAAATCTTATTCTCTAAGAGACTAATGTACCAAGAGTAGCACCCCACATTTGATGGGGTGAAAAGTAGAAGGCAACCAATCTTGATCAAGTCTGTGTAAGTATATGTGGTATTTATATATGTATATAAATATACATATGTGTATATGTACATATATATCAGCCCAGAAGGCTCAATCTATAAGAACATGTTAGTAATTTCTTACACAAGGGCTTAATGGCTCCAAGGTGAGGTACCACAATTTCACACACTTTTCTCTAAGGAAAACTTTTTGCATCATGTTTTGAGGGTTATTCATAACAAGCAATACAAAATAAATTATTTCAGATCTGCTATGGGCAGGCTGGATGTTGATGAGAAAGTACGAAATAATGGTAGTGGGAAGTCCTAATAGTGGTGGAATTGGTGTTGAAATATTTAATGTAACAAATTTTGGTGGACAACTTTATGAAAATACAATTAAAAAAATAAAAAATTTAAATAGAAATAAATAAGAATAAGAAAAAACAGAACTATTTTCAGTTTTTTATAAAAAATTGTTAGTGCTCTTTGATCAGATGGGCTGGACATGTAATGAGATTTGGAGACAACCGCTGGACTAGAGCCATTACTGACTGGATTCCATGGGACGTCAAAAGACCGCGTGGCTGCCCACCTACCAGAAGTTCAGACTTCTTCATCAAGATCCTGAACAATCGGTTTGAGGCTCTTCGTGTTCCTAGAACGAACAGAAGTCAGTGGGCTACACTAGCACGGGACAGGGACAAATGGAGACATTACTGGCGCCTGCTCGAGCAAATCGATGATTAATGGGAAGTCAAGTGATCAAGTGATCAAGTGCTCTTTGAAAGAGTCTATCCAACTCTTCGAATTTGGGATAGGACTCGATGTGTTTTTGACCTTGAGTTTTATGAGATTTTTTTGATCTTTTGGTTGTCAATTCCATATGTGTATTGTTCACACACTTTTAACTAAGTAGAGTATTAAATTAGAAACCATTCCAAATCAATATATTACATTTTTTATACAGCTACACAGGAGCTGATTGTTCATGTGGATTGCAATTTATTCAGTGTGTTGGACATACTTCTGGAATAATATTACAAATATTTCTACACGTGTAAACCTTGTATTAGGTATTTGGCACAGGCACAAACATTTGTATAAACAAAATACTACATCAAAAAAGGGAGGAATATGTATGGCTTTGATATCATTATAAATATTTTAAATGGTCCTGCTTGCCGATTCTGTCAAATTTCACTTCCATCAAAAACACCTGAGACCTTTTTACGAAGATGGTGCCAAAGGCCAAGAAGGAAATCCCTGACCCTCCCAAAGTTGAAACCAAAGCCAAAGCTTTGAAGGACAAGAAAGCAGTGCTGAAAGGCGTTCACAGCCAGAAAAAGGAAAAGATTCGCACTGTCACCCACCTTCAGAAGACCTAAAACGCTGCGTCTGAGAAGGTAACCCAAATACCCTCGTAAGAGTGCCTCCAGGAGAAACAAGCTTGACCGTTATGGCATCATCAAGTTTCCTCTGACTACAGAGTCAGCCATGAAGAAGATAGAAGATAACAACACACTTGTGTTCATTGTGGATGTCAAGGCCAACAAGTACCAGATTAAACGGGCTGTGAACAAGCTCTATGGCAGGTCAATACCCTGATTGGGCCTGTTGGAGAGAAAAAGGCATATGTTCGACTGGCTCCTGATTATGAGCCAGATTATGATTATGGATGTTGCTAACAAATTGGGATCATCTAAATAGTCCAGCTGGCTAATCCTAAATACAATTTATTTTCCACTATAAAAAAACGGCTGAGAATGCCTTATCCCACAGTGTTACCACAGCTGACGAAAATATGTTCTACACGTTTGTCTCAGAGAACATATATAGGTGACTAATTTTAATTTACATTTAAATCATTACAAATTGAGATTTTGCACCATTTATGGTGCCCACATTTGGTCTGTTTTGCATATTATTCAACTTCCCTTGAGAGTATTAGTATAATATTTAAAATTAAATTTAATTACAAATTTGAAAAACTCAAAATCTCATGCCATACACTTAGATCCTATACATGAATGAAAATAATTCCCCAGTTCTCCACTGTCCTTCTGAAAGATGTGATAGACCCATCAGGATGTCAAAGGGCAGTCATCTTGATCTTGTAGTTGGAGAAGGACAGGAGGGCGTTGGAAAGGCTTTTTTCATCTTCTGACGCATAGACCAGCACTGTTGCTCTTCTCTCTTTGAGGTCTTCCTTTATCGTTTCTTTGCCCTGCTTATCGAGCTCCTACATTTGCTTGTGGTTGCCTAAGGATTGAACCAAGTCACATTGGCGAATGAGCTCGAAAGATTTCAAACACAGGCGTCTTTTTGTGGCTATCTCTCTCGGTGATCAGATAGCAGAGACTCATGTCTTTATTTCTCATCTCAGGGGCATAAGTTGAGAATTTGATATCCAACAGATATACACAACTGTTCTGATACAGAGCCTCTGCTTCAATACATATATGTCGTCTCCACAGCCAACTTGACTCTTATAAGTTTGAGAGATTTGCTTCATTTCAGATTTCTAGGTCCCTGAAAAACGGCTTGTGAGAAGGTGTGACACAATTGTGCCTGTTAAGGAAATGCTATTGGCAGCCAATCACACATCAACTGACCCATGAATATTCACCCCATCTTAAGATGAGTATTGCTAAATCTGGTAGCAAGGATTTCTCCCACTTTTGAGGAACATCAGGTATATTCCTTGTTTTTATGCCTTACTTCACTAAACATGAGTTTCTTTGGTTCCACTCTACTTACAATAAATTGCACAATTTTATTATTCTTTGTGGCTGAAAAATATTTCATCATTCATATATAGTATTCACATAGTGAATACTATGTATATACTATATACTGTATATATAATATATAGTAGAATGCAATCTATTTATGATATATAGTGGAACAATGGGGCTGGAGCAATAGCTCAGCGGGTTCGGCATTTGCCTTGCACGTGACTGACCTGGTCTACCCTAGTTCTATTCCTCTGCCTTCGATTCCTCCTCCCCTCTTGGAGAGCCCAGCAAGCTACCGAGAATATAGCACCCTCACCGAAAAGCATGGCAAGCTAGCCGTGATGTATTTGATATGCCAAACACAGTAACAAATATCACAATAGAGACACTACTGGGCCTGCTCGAGCAAATTGATAAACAACGGGAGGACAGTAACATTGACAGTGGAACAATATGTGTATATATAATGTGTATACCACAAGTTTATTATCCTCACTTCTGTTGCCAGACATCTGGGTTATTTCTATATTTTAAAGAATTGTTTCACTGTATATAAAGATACAGGGCAATTTTAAATTCACCCACAGTGTACGATAATTCTCTTTATATGACACATTTTTGAAGGCTTGATGTTTCCTGTCTTTGTGATACATACTGCCTTTTCAAGTGTGAGATAATAGTGAGGATTATGTATTTATTGATGTTAGACACAGAAATGAATCGAGCTCCTCTATATGCAGGTCATCTCCTCTACCTCCACCTTAAGGTGGTAACCAGTTATTTTGAATTATTTTATGCTCATGATTTTGATTTTTGAAGAAAGAATAATGACCATGGTTTACATGAATTGCAATAGGAGGTATGGTGCCGCCAGGAGGCAAATCTGTACCTGTCAGGCAAATGCATCAGCAGCATAATGGCACCTTCAGACTTTCAGATACAGCAAAATTGCTGCTGTGCCTTTGGCCAGACCCCAAAAACTTGGGGCAAAGTTTACCAGGAAAGTAAGCGGCCAAAAATTAGGTATGTGGGATACATACCCAAAAACCACATTGGTTGAGCAATATAATTGAAAGCATGGCCTCTCTGGTTCCTGATCGAACTGCTCAACAGCCATGATCCCAGAGACTCAGAGACAAATTTCTAAACCCTATGGCTTTGGGCAGAACTGCAGTAGGTTACCAGTGCCGGGCCAACCCAGGTGGGAACAGGTTTTATGCCTTGGTCTTTTCCCCATGGTGGCCCAATGGCTGCCATCCTCCAGAGGCCACTGGACAGTCAGGTTTGGGCCAGCAGTGACAAGACACCACGTGGGGCCTTCCAAATGGGGGTAGAGCCAGCCCTTTCCTCCTCATCCCAAGGAGACCCCAAGTTGCCGCCCACGAACGGCCTCTCTGGCTCCTGATCAAGCTGCTTAACGGCCATGGTCCCAGAGATTCAGAAACAAATCTGGAAACCCAGCTGCATTTGGCAGAAATGCGTCCAGACCCTGCAGGAGGTTACTGTTGCAGGGCCACCCCAGGGGGGAAAAGGTGCTGTCCCCCTGCCTGCTCCCGATTGGCAGCTCGGTGGCTGTCATTCTCCAGAGCAATTGGACAGTCAGGTATGGGCCCACAGTGATGAGACACATGGAGCCTCACGGGATGGGGGTGGAGCCGGCCCTTTCCTCCCCATCCCAATGAAACCTTGAGTCGCTGCCCCAAAATGGCCTCCCTGGCTCCTGATCAAGCTGCTTAACGGCCATGATCCAAGAGACTCAGGAACAAATCTCGGAACTAAGCAGGTTTTGATAGAAATCCCTCTAGATTTAATTGTCAAAATTTTGAAATTTCAAAATTGCACGGCCACTGCTGCAGACACGGGATATCCTATGTTATTCATAACTGGAATAGGAAACAAATAGTCTACTATTGCTTTTTTTTAATAGTGAAACACCATGAGGTACAGTTGTAGACTTACAAATTTTTGTGATTGGGTTTCAGTTATACAATGATCCAGTGCCCATTCTCTGTCATTTACATTTTTTAAAATTTTTTTGTTAGTGAAACACCATGAGGTACGATTGTAGATTTACAAATTTTTGTGCTTGGGTTTCAATTGTACAATTATCAAACACCCATCCTTCCACCAGTGCACATTTCCCACCACCAGGAGTCCCAGAATCCCTCCCACCCCCCAGCCCCCATACCACCCTGCCTCGGTGGCGGGTATTCCCTTTTGTTCTCTCTCTCCTTTTGGGTGTGGTGGTTTGCAAAAGAGGCATTGAGTGGCAATCATGTTTGGTCTATAGTCTACTTTCAGCATGCTTCTCCCATCCTGGGAGGACCCTCCCGACACCCTTTACTTGGTGCTTCCATCTCTATCTGAGTTCCCTTTTCCCCTAGAATGTGTGGCTGGCCTCCAAGCCATGGAGCAAAATTCCTGGTACTAATCTTGGACACTCTTGGGTGTTAGTCTCCTATTTTGTTACTTTATGCTCCCCAGATGAATGCAATCTTTCTCTGTCTATTCCGCTTTTCTGATCCATTTCACTTAAAATGATACTTTCCAGGTAGTACCACTTGTATGTAAATTTCTTGACTTCATCTTTTCTAACAGCTACATAGTACTCCATTGTGTAGATGTACCAAAGTTTCTTTAACCAGTCATCTCACTCAGGTATTTTCCAGATTCTGACTAATGGAAACAGTGCTGCAATGAACAAACAAGTTCAGATGTCACTTCGACTATACTTCGTTGCCTTTCTGGGATATATTCCCAGGAGTGGTATTGCTGGGTCAAATGGGAGCTCAATTTCTAATTTTTTGAGAATCGTCCACACTTTTTTCCAAAAGGCTTGAACCAGTCAGCATTCCCACCAGCAGTGAAGGAGGGTCCCTTTCTCGCCACATCCATGCCAGCACCGGTTGCTCTTGTTCTTTTGGATGTGGGCCAGTTTCTGTGGTGTAATTGATATCTCATTGTTGTTTTGATCTGCATCTCCCTGACGATTAATGATATAGAGCATTTTCTCATGTGCCTTTTTTTCATTCTGATTTCTTCTTTAAGAAAGTTTCTGTTCATTCTATCACCCCATTTTTTGATGGAGTTGGATGTTTTCTTCTTGTGCAGTTCAACCAGGACCTTGTATATCCTTGATATCAACCCCTCATCAGATGTGTATTCAGCGAATATCCTTTCCCATTCTGTACACTGTCTTTGTATTTTGGTCACTGTTTCTTTGGATGTGCAGAAGCTTCTTAGTTTAAGATAGTCCCATTTGTCTATTTCTGTTTTCACTTGCTTGGCCAGTGGCATGACATTTTTGAAGATATCATTAACTTCAATATCATAGAAGGTTTTGCCAACTTTCTCTTCAGTGAACTTTATGGCTTCCGGTTTGATGTTGAGGTCTTTAATCCATTTTGATCTTACTTTTGTACATGGCGTTAGGCAGAGATCTGTGCCCACTTTTTTGCATATAGCCATCCAGTTTTGCCAGCAAAACTTGTTAAAGAGGCTTTTCCTGTTGCACTTTTTTTGCCCCCTTATCAAAGATTAGATGATCATATGCTTGGGGGGAGATGTCAGTATATTCAACCCTGTTCCATTGGTCTGCAGCTCTGCCTTTGTTCCAGTACCATGCTGTTCTAACTATTACTGCTTTGTAGTAGAGTTTGAAGTTAGGGAGGTTGATTCCTCCCATTTTCTTTTATCCAAGAATTGTGTTAGCTATTCGTAAGGTCTTATTGTTCCATATAAATTTCAGGATAGTTTGCTTCATTTCTTGGTAGAATGTCATGCGTATTGTAATAGGGATCACATTGAATTTGTACAATGCTTTGGGAAGTATTGCCATTTTAACAATGTTATTTCTC